CTGTGCACATAACTTTATAGGCAGGCAGGCCCTACCCACCCTAAATTTCATATCTGACTTGTCCGTGTTCCTGAGGAAGTAGCAAATGAGCCCTAGATATGTTTGAATATTTTCTTTGCTTTTTAAGAACCGAAGTGTACATTGTACACATTACGAATTGATAACTTGTTCACAGGATTTGGGTCTGGCAAGGGATGACCTTAGTGATCATCCATTCTGTCTTTTACAATGAGAAAACTGTTTGAAGTCTTATACCCTGAGGAAAACCTTTCAGCAATACCCCTGATTTTAAATCATTTTAATTTCATGAACTCGTTTTTTGGAGGTGGTGGGCTAGGAGTTAAGGTTACTAACTTGCAGTTAACTGGAGTGTATTGGGCTAATTACTCTACCTATTAGGTTCATTTTTCTAGCTTTTGGGCTTCCATGCATCATTGGTTTTGATGTTTCCCTCTGCCCCGCTTTTCTTATCCTGCCTGAATCCATGTGGATTCTCTGCTCAAATTCATTTATAAGTCCAGTTTTTTCTTAGTTTCTTAGTTTTCCTTTAGTTTTTTCTGCTCACAGCACATGGCTCAGCTTCTGTTCAGAGTTTCCAGGTAACTAGGAATCAGCAGGAAAGAGACTTTGGGGTACCTTTTGGCTTTCTTTGCTTAGTAGTTTTTTTAGAGAAAGGTAACTGAAATCCAATGCCTATCTCATTGATTACTTTTCTATCAAACTTCAATATTCCAAATCTTTTTTGCCATAAATTTTTGGTGCGATCTGGATAATTTTCTTTTATTCAGGTCTAAGGATTATGTTTGTTCAGTTGTTTCAGTCATGTGCTCTAAATCATTACTGATTTTGTTGTTGCTGTTCACTTGTGACCGACTCTTTATGGCCCCATTTGGGGTTTTGGTAAAGATACTGGAGTGTAGTTTTCCACTTCCTTCTCCAGCTCAATTTACAGATGAGGAAACTGAGGCAAACAAGATTAGGTGACTCTCCCAGGAGAGTGTCTCAGGCCAGTTTTGAACTCAGGAAGATTCTTGTTTCCAGGCCCACCACTCTATTCACTATACCACCTAGTTGCCCAAGGATTATGGGAGACAGTAAAGAAACATAAGTCACTAAGGACTGGACACTGAATACCTAGGACAAAAATGTATCTGTGGGTCCCAAATCATAGAGGGGAACTGGCTTCTTGCATTAAGGATATAGTAGAATCTAGAAGAGAACCAAGTGGTGACTATTGCATATACTAGTAGTGGAGGCCATCCATACCTGTGTACACATAGAAATCTGTGCTTCCCTCCTTGCTTTCAAAATGGACATTTTCTTCCCCTTTGTAAAGGCTCTGAGAATAGATGCATCTTCCATCATTTTCCGAGTACTCTCTTCTCTCCTACTGGGCCCAGAGCCAGAATTGGCTAAAGAGCCAACTCATCGTGCCTGGGATTGTGAAGTACTCGCTCATTTGGTGAAAGGCCCTGCATGTCATTCGGAAGATCTGGTTTACTATGGAGTCCATGCCAGCCTGAAAAGCGGGGGGGGGGGGGGGGGGGGTTGGGGGGGTGTGGCTTTCATGGATTGCTTCTCAGTCCAAGGAATAGACTGGTCTTGAAGCCAAGAAACACATCAACTTCCTGGAACTTAAGCCATCATCACAGCTGTCTTAGCCTTCAGAGCACACGCAAGGCAGTACTTATTAGGACAGTGTGGCTGTTGTGCCCTCTGTTAACAAGCTGAGGGAGAGCATAGGCTTTGCCATATTGGATTAGATAAAGGACCCATCTTTTCTGACTTTTTTGCTCACAGACTAGCAGCCAGTTCCCACTTAAGCTCTGTACGAGGCAAAGATTTGAATGTTTCCTTGCTTTGCCTTGTAAACTGTCTATGGTCATCAGTCTTCTCTTAGCAGAAAATGTTTTTACCCCATTTCTTAAGCTCACAATACTGTGTTGAGACCATTTTAAAATCTGAATTCCTCTTGCCTGAATTAGTCTCTTAGTTAATTAGTCTACCCAGGCTGTTCATCCACTTGGTTCAGTGGTACGTTCCCAGCCCTTAAACCTACTCAAAAATGTCTCAGGGCCTCGACGTATGGGTCTACACAAAACTACTCTAAACTTTGGGCCTGTTGAAAGCATTTAGTCCTTGGCGATTCCTCAGAAGTAGGTTTGTTCCTGGCTCCTTTTGTTTGGGGCATCTCATTTTTGCATTGCTCTTTATCTGTTATCTTTCAGGGTTATCTGGTCTGTCTTGGATGGACCACTCTTCTTAATCTTCTCTTTCTGGCCTTACATATGATTGTTCTCTTATCTTTTCTAGGTGGGGACATCCTTGGTAGGAGGGGAGGGACCATCCCAGTTGTCTTTATCTTAGCTTTAACTAACTTACATCAAGGACTCTGCTCTTCCAGTTATCCTTTTTGGACTCTCTATGGGAGAGGAGCCTTAGAAGAAGTTTATATTTATTCCTTTATCCCTTCCCAAATTTATCCTTCATTTGAGTAAAGGGGGAGATAGTCTGGAATTTCTTCTTGGGGTTGCCTGTTTTGTAACCTTCAGCACTTTAGTTTGAAGTCTTTAAATCAATAGACTTAAAGGAAACAATGAAGTTTACCCAGCTCTCAGTTTTTAGGGAATGCTGGGACTGAAACTAAGGTCAAACTTTTCATAGGCAGGATGAAATGGCAGTATCATCTTGGAAATAAATCTTTGGCCTCGAAGGGATGCCTACTTTAAACTACCTTAATTATCTGATGTTAGTTATTAAAATGTGAAAAAAGGCTCCCCTCAATTCTCTTTTTAAAATATTCCATTTGATAGACATTTTATGTCAGACTGATTAAATTAATCAGAGGAGGGTAGTTTCTTTCTCTTTTGTGATTTACATCTTTTAATCTCATTTTGCTGAGATAAAGTTTATTTTGAGTTTTACTGATTTGTTCCTCATAGTAATGCTAACATTGTTCTGCTAATATTAACTCCCGCCCTACACCCCACAACTTCAAACAAGAAACATCCCTTTCCCATTCCAGTTTAAAAAAAAAAGTATTTTGGATCCATGGCTTGACTATGTCCTGCCATTAGAAGTTACAACCTTTCTATACACTGTCATCCTATGCATTTCTTTTAGTCTTTATAAATTCTTTCTCTGGCAGAGAAAATAGGGTTTTGAGATTACAAGGGGAAAAGTTGAACAACTTCATGATATTCTACCTTCCCATTCTGGCTGTTACAGGGGTTTTAAGGAATGAAAGTATGATAGGCTCTTCTGAAGTCTTAATCTCCCTTTCCTTTCCCCAAATCCATCTTCCAGTCTTTACAAAGTGAAATAGAAACCTAGACTGTCTTTGAGTGCCTTCTACTTTTACTTTGTTTGACTTTAGGCATTGTTCCTTGGTTTGGATGGGTGGGGTTGATGATCTGAAAGGGACATTTTGTTATCTAGTTTTGAGATTAAGATGGAGCCTTTTGTAAATTGTCTTGATGGCATCTTGAACATTGGCATGTGCCCTGTAAAGGAGCTTGTGAAGTTGAGGTCCTCCATCCATCTTCCTGAGAATAAGGTGTGGATGTGTGTAAGTGAGTGGTTCTTTTGCCTATTTTTTATATCCTGGGCAACCTGCAAAAGGAAGGTTAGAGATAATAGAGAAAGTCTGAATGTAGGAGCCTGGAGAGAACTGGAGAGTATACAGAATTAATGGTGTTAGTATCATTGACAAGGTCTAAATCCTGTCATTCCTATCTTGTACTTTCCTTATCTGGACTTGATCACCAAACTCATTTCTGGCTCTAAAATTTTATTTTTAGTAAGCAAGCAGTAAATGTCAATGTATAGAATTCAGGATGGTAAATAGGCAATGGGCTTGCGGCTTTGTAGATTTCCTTGAGGCTTCTGAAAGAAGACAACAAACATGTTAGTTGTTATTCATTGAATCATATGAGAATTCCACTGGTTTCTGAGCTGAGGGAGGTCCATCCAGTTGAGTCCCTTTCCCTTTCATTGAGAGGGGAGATGAAGAAATGATGCACTTGCTTTTTCTCAAATTCAAATTAGCCCTCAGCAGAGAAAAAGAGGGAAGAAAAATGTGTTTGGATGCTATAGACTGATTCTTCAAAGTCTAGTTAAAGTCTTCTAATTTTTAAGGATGTTAAAGCAACCATTTGTTCCAGATAGTGTTTGTGGTAGTATAGAGATTTTTTAAAAAATACTTTTTTAGTGGTATTTAAATTCTTTAATAGCAAATAGTTTCCGCGTATTATGCTTTATTACTGTTCCTGGACTGGAAAGTATTTAATTTCATCTTAATCTTTTTGTATGTTCTGCTATCATTAACTCCTTTCCCTCACCATATCTTTTCTTTATAAGAAAAAAATATAATAATCCCTTAAATAATTCTTCTATGATTTCCTTCTTTTTTTTCCCTTTCTTAAACATTTTAGGCTGACTTTTGTCTTTTCTTTATTTGACCCCATTCATAGCTCCCCCTCTGTCTTGGAGGTAACCTCCTTTTGCTGACCTTCCTGCCATGCCCTCCATACCAATTTTTTACCCACATGAGATGCCATTTACTCGTGTCTTAGTTGTTGAATCTCGTCCAAGTTTTTGTGACCCCTTTTGGGGTTTTCTTGGTATTGAAGTGACTTGTCTAGGATTACCCAGCTAGTAAGTGTCTGAAGTTCAGGAAGACTTATTTTCCAGACTCGGCCTAGCACTCCCTATGCACTGTGCCACCTATCTGTGTCTCACTCATGTCTTAGTCTAAGGTGTAATGGTTCTCTTCCTTGCTCATGCTTGGAGCTAATTTTTAGCACGTAGCCCAAAAGACTAGAATTGTATGCTTAGTTGAAGAACTTTAAAGGCAACCCTCATATTTCGAGGAGGGAGTCCTAGGAAAGGAATGTCTCCTGAGAAGATTCTCTCTGAATCTGGCTTGTGGTAGTGAAAACCTTGCTGAGAAAGTCCAGTGGTCTGTCTGAGTAATAATATTTTTTATTCTTTTCTTATAGGTTGCCCTTTATCTGTGCTCCATCCTTTGTGGCATTGAGGTGTGACACTGTCCATCAGCTCCTGTCCTCCTGGGTCCAGCTAGCGTTAGCTTTTCTTTGAGGTTGGCTGGTTCAATTGACAGCAAGAAGATAAAAGGTTGGTGAATGTTAGGAACCTGTAACTATTCCTAAACCTCTTCACTTCTGCAGGTTGGGAGGCTCAGAGACAATTCCCACCCCACTCCCCCTACCCCCTACACACAAGGGGCAGCACTCGGAATACTACATCCAAATTGAGGCCATTATAACATGTAGCAAATATGAGCTAAAAGGGTTTTATGATTTATAGCTGATAGGGAACTGATGGGTCCTACACCTTTTGTCAGTGTGAGTGAAGACTACCTTTTCAGAATCATTTTTTATAGCACGTAACTCAAAATACATGGGATTATAGTGGGAACAAATTTTATCAAAATATTTTCTAAATAATACATGGACTCCAGGTTAAGAATCCCACTTGTAGGGGCAGCTAGGTGGCGCAGTGGATAGAGCTCTGGCCTTGGAGTCAGGAGGACCTGAGTTCAGATGTGGCCTCAGACATTTGACACTTACTAGCTGTGTGACCCTGGGCAAGTCACTTAACCCTGATTGCCTTACCTAAAAGGAGAAAAAAAAAATCCCATTCTAAATGGGATCCCCTTCATACAGAAGCCCAGGAACTAAAGGGACTTGCCCAAGGCATTACAGTTATTTATTGGCACTAAGTCCAGTGTTCTTTCCATCCATAGCAGCAGCATCATGTGTTTAATTTTGACAAAGATGATCATTTATTTTCAAATCTGGTTGGGGAATTTGATCTGAATGTCATATAATTATAGATATCCTTTTATTTCATGGGGGTTATGGGGAGGTTTATGTTGCAAATGTGGCTGGTTGAGGAATGAAGTTAATAGGAATAGAATGACATAGATTGACACTTACTAGGAATGTGAATACTTTTCATATCCAGTAAAAAAAAAAATACCCCCAGTGTTGGTTTCCATAGGCTGGTGGGGTTTGTTTGTTTTTGTTTTTGTTTTCTGCTCCATTAGCAGAGAATAAAAATGAGTCGATCAACATGATTTGAAACTTTATTCTAGTCCAATTAGTGCATGGTTGGTGCTTAAACATTAAAGTGGTTTTTTTTTCTTTTCCCTTAGAACAGTGAACTGCTTTATAATGTACATTAGGTTCTTTTTTCCCCTTCTTGCTTTTGCTCTGTATTGTGTACTTCTTCCTATCTGTCCCAGAGGGAGAGCTCATGTACAAGACAGTAGAACAAGCAGGAATAAAGACTTGTCATTAGCTCCAAGGCCTTAGTGCTTTGCAGCAGCTTCTCCGTGATGAGTCAAAACACTACAGAGAAGGCAGCCCGTTTTCCTCTTTCTGAACAGCATAGCTGAGGTCCTCATTTTGTTTTATTACTCATATGTTTTCAAGTCCAAGAGATCAGAGGATGCTCTAACTAGAAATGACCCTTTCTTTACATCTTAAAGTGACGTAGATGGTCTTGCCTTTAGCAAACCAGAGAATTACATTTTGTACATTATCCCAAAGGAGGAAATCGATTTAGCAAATGTCTTCCTGTTCAGACTGAATGGGAAATAACAAATTTTTGCGGATTTTTTTTTCTTTATTCTTTTTTGGTTAAACCTCTGCAGTTTTTTTGTAGCATTTTTGTTAGCAAGTTGCCTGTGTTACCCTTTCTCTAGTTTTTTTATGTGAGATACTTAGCTAGATGCAAGTTTAACTTTCATTTTTGTTAATTTGAAAGTGTTCTTATACATGAACACTCGTTTTAATATTATTTACTTTTAAAGTGACCTTTTGCCTCACCACCATCGTTCATCCCTGGCTTCACGATAGAATTTGAATTTTTTTTTTTTGTTAACCCCTACGGGTTTAGATATCTACTGTAATATATTCACACATTTCAGTAAGCCCTCTATCAGGATTATTTTTCAACTCTTTCCAATTTTTATATGTAAAATGGGAACATAGTGACTTAGCTTTTCTTCACTGTGACTATTTCTTCCTTTGCTTCTTTTCCAGTATTAGTGGTACCGTGAGTGAGGAAGAAACTGAGATAAACAAAGACATTAGCCTGTCACTTTTAGTGGAAGGTAACCATTAAAGTAGAGAATCTTGTTGTACATCAACTGGAGAAGATGAAGGTAATTGTCTTGATATTAAGAGTGTTTGACTAAAATAGGTTACTTGGACCTCATTTACTGTGTCCCTCTTTCATGGAATGACTCTTTCAAATAGAAGACTCTGAATTAGCTTCCAAACTCTTTTTCTGTTTTCTCACCCACATGTGTTGTTCAGGTGCATTTTCAAGATTTGATCAATGAAGGTAGTTAACTCTCCCTTCATGCTTCTTCCTCTACTAGTGAACATTTAGTTTCAGTGGGGCTTTGCTTACATCTAGCCCAAATTCTGAATTTTGTGCACCATACATTAGAATTCATGTGGATGTCAAGATTGTCATTTTTATCTTTATTTTTGATAATATATGCGGCTTGATTCAACATGGTAAATGAGCAAACATTCATTCTTTGAGCTGAATGAATGTTTTACACATATACATTGTAAGTGTAATAATTAGTAAAAACATTCATTAAAGTTTATTAATAAAATTTCATTAACTTTTGCTACCAGTTATTTTATCCATTGAGTTATTACAGGTATATGCAAGGAGAAATGTTTTGACCTTACAAAATGTTGGTTATTGCTCTTCTACAACTCATTATAGCTGATTCTTCTCTTTCATTAATACTTGGTGATGATATGTCACAGATGAGTTGGATTCTCATTCTCAGACTACTAACATGATTTTATTGTGGCACTGGAATTAATGACAGGTCTGGTAGAGTTGTGTCAGATCTCTCTTTAAGTCCAAGAGCTTAGTGATTTTCATTGCTGCCACTGCTTTCCCAGTTCTTTGGCTGAATTGGTGAGGAGGGTAAAGAAAGCCACCCTGCTCTTTATAGAAGCCTTTAAAATACCACTTTGGATTTCTGCCAGGCTTCTCAACTTTTTTCCTTTCCCTGGAAACATCCCCTGAAATTCCCAGTCTCAGAAAGAATAAATATTCACTTCTTGGTCTTCCCTGGGCCTAACCTTCTTTTATGTTTTACATTTCCTTTCTTTAGTTCCAGCAAAAAGAATCATCAGCCTAAACTGTAGTCCTATGACGTCAAAGTCGCCCACCAGCTTAGAAGGTTCAGATTTATCTTCCATCAATACCATGATGTCAGCAGTAATGAGTGTAGGGAAGATTGCAGAGAATGGCAGCAATTCACAAGCCATCAAATCCCCAACAAAGTCATCAGGACCTAATCGGATTGGCAGGAGGAACCAGGTAAGTCTAGCCTGTGAGTCAGAGTGAATGTCCTTGATTCAGATCTTTGGGGAATCATGGATTAGACTGATGTTTCTGGGGGCAATAGATCAAGGGAAGCTGGAGAGAATAAATGGGCAGGGATTACAGAGGATTCGTGTGGTGTAAAAATAAATTTGTTTGTATGCAAATGGAGCACTTTGGACAATATTTATCCGTAGAGCAATCATACTCTCAAATCTTTTAGTCCAATGGCTTCCACCATTGTTGTCTAATGTAAGGCAGTAGTAATAGTGAGTGAATGATCCTTATTCCTTTGACCCTTTTTGTGTCACCAGGCACCCTGAGACAAAGAAAATGATCTCTAAATTTATCCAGGCAGATAGATAGAAAGCCTCCTTTTTAAAATATCTACAGTTGGAAGGAGAGACTCCAGTTATCTAGCTGTACAATTTGTGAAATGCTAATTAAAATCAAATAATAAACTTATAGTGCCCTGATCTATAAATTGTTTACGTAAACCTAGGCTTCAAAAGTCATTGAACACATTTTCTAAAGTTCTAGAGTTGGAAGGAACCTTATGGCTAGGGAAACTGAAATCCAGAGCAGCTAAATGTCTTGCTTAAAGTGACACAGGTAGGAAGAATAGAGCCAAGCTTTGATCTTGTGTTGTGATTTTAAATTTAGTGTTGTTTCTACTGCACTGCAATGTTTGTATGGCTTCTCAAACCAGAGGAGTATTTATTTGTTCTCTTAATATTCTTTATTCTTATTTATTATTCTGTCTTTTTAATATTCTTAATATAATGTTCTCTTAATTGATTGTTTACATTCATTCTTCATTGGAATTCCATATTCCTCTGTAAAGGTCTTTGCTTTGGACATTCTTTGGAGGGTGTTCTTTGAGAATTTAGGATAAGGGGTTCTCATTCATACCTGTGACCTCCCTCCTGGGATGTCACAACATAGTATCAAGGGGAAAAATGGCTGATGTTGTTTCAGGGACTATGATATTGTGAAACACACTGTTTGTCTTTTTGGGTGTCTTGTCTGCTTGTTCAGTTTTTCAGGCATGTCCAGCTCTTTGTGACCCCTTTTAGGGTGTTCTTGGCAAAGATAGAGGAGTGTTTTGCCATTTCCTTCTCCAGCTCATTTTACAGATGACTTGCCCAGGGTCACACAGCTCACGTCTGAGGCCAGATTTGATAGTGTCTTGTCTGTATTTCCCTTTGTTTGACTGCTTGGGAGCTGAGCGTGCATTCCTGATCTTTGGATTGAAAAAGAAACTTAATTCGATGTGGGAAGGAAGAACCTCTTTTTTTTCCCCTCATAGAGAAGAGATAAAAAGGCAAGCTGTCATTTAGCCCCCTTCCCTGCACTCCCTCCCTCACTCCCACCCCCAAATCACTTCATTCCCATTCAAACCCTTCTCTATTTTGTTAACTCAAAAAAGAGGGGTCAGAGAGGTGGGGGAAATGGAGGGAGACAGCATAAGAAGGTTCTTTTTAGTCACCACTTTCTTAATAATAGCCAGCCTTTCCAATTGTAGGTGAGAGTTCTAGCTTTCTTCTGAGGTCTGTAGAGTCCACTGAGGTGTATCGTAGGCACGCCATTTAAGTGGCCAAACATCAACCACAATGTGATAGTTTAGCTCCAGACCCCTCCCTTGTTGATAAATGCTGCAGAGAGCCAATGGAGCATGTTCTTACTTTAATTCCCATTCTCTTCTTGTCCCCAGACGTTTTTCCTACTTGATGTTTTTGTCAAAGTGAGGGCCCTCTCTTCCCTACCCTCCCCCAAGAAAAAAATGGAATCCCAGAGAGATGAAAAGGAACCCTGGGGATAAATCTCCTAAGTGCTCTCACAGACTTCCAGAACAGATTAGCCTCTAACTGAATGCCTAACAAGGGTGTCAGATTGCTTCATTATGGAATAGTGAGTTATCAAATTAGCTGCTAATTTTATCTTTCAGCTCAGGAAGTGTTCCTTTCACCAACCGAACTCTAGTAGCTAGATTTTAAATTCTCCATCAATGCCTTTTCAACACTAGTGATGCTCACCATTTCTGGCTGTATGGAGGTGGAATAGAGTCCAGTGGGTCAGTGAAACTCATTCTCTCCGAGCCATATTTGGTTGACCTGCATTATGGTATGTAGTACACTAGTACTAGAGACCAGAGAAAGTTTGAGTTTCGGTTAATAATAAACCCCAGGGTCAGTGCCAGTCGACTACATGATGTCTGATCTTTGCTTCAAGGTGAACTGGTAATTTCCTCTGTTGTATTAATTTGTCTATTCAGAGCATGGGCCATCTAAAATCCTGATTGTTTGGAATTGCATTTACACACACACACACACACACACAACACCTACAAAAAGCCTGTTAATTACATAGAAATTCCTGGGTTAATATCCTACTGTCAGCACTATCTCATGGCTTATTGTATTTTTTTTATGTCCTGTGGTGTCTTCTGTGGTCCAACAACACCTTGATTCTGATTACTTTAGAACAATTGTTATCATTCATAGCCTAAGAGAATGTGATGTTCAGAAAGAACATTCCAGAATATATGGGAGAGATGGAAATCTGGTGGGAAAGGTTTATTTAACTTCCTTCCCAGTGATCAATGTCACTCTTTTTTAGAGGGAGATGACTCAAATGACATTGATTTTTTTTGGTGGGGTTGTTAATATTCATTTGTATGGGGAATGGTTGGGCCATTAATGACTATCATCATTAGAAGAGTCTTAGGAGAGAATTTTTATTCATTTTTTATATAAAACAAAGCACAGATTTTTTGAAGGCTCTTCACTGTGTCTTTGGGGCTGATCTTCTTCATTGTGGGAGAGTAGAAATTATTATGGGAGGAAGGAAAGGAGATCACTGATTTTATTGAGAATTCCCAGAGGGTTGTCCCTCTATCAATGAAGGTTGGCACCTGCAGAGTTTAGAGAGTTGTTGGGGCCACTGGGTTTACTTATGTCCAAGGCTCTCCCTCATTCTTAAAAATATAAATGGCTCTCCTGGGCCACACTTAACTTTTTAGACTCATTGGACTTTATATTAACCAAATTGGCCTCTTTACTCTTGGACACTTCATCTCTCACACCTGCCTTTGCACTAGCTACTCAGAGACTCTTCATAGAGTCTTTGTTTTAAGATACATCATCTTCTTACATCTTTTTACATCATTGTTCCTTGTATCCCACCTGTCCTGTATGTGTTCTGTTTTTTTTCCTTTTTTGGTGAGGCAGTTGGGGTTAAGTGACTAGCCCAGGGTCACACAGCTAATAAGTGTCAAGTGTCTTGAGGTAGGATTTGAACTCAGATCCTCCTGACTCCACAGCGAGAGCTCTATCCACCGTGCCACCTACCTGCCCCACCTATATGTATTTTTATGTGTACTTCTTGTCTCCACCATTAGTTTATTAGCCAAGTGGTCTAGAGTGGCTAGAGATCTGGGCCTGGAGTCAGGGAAACCTGAGTTGAATCCTCCCTGAGCCACCAGCTGTGTGACATTGGGGAAGTCACTTAAACTCTGTCCCAGTTTCCTTAACTTAAAAATGCAGCAAATAATGTAGCACCTACCTCTAGAGTTGTGAGGATCAAAGGAGATATGTGAGAGGCCCAAAGCATAGTGCCATGTACTGTGTAGGCATAGAGCAGGCACTGTATAGATACTATTATTAATGTTGTTATTGTTTTTGTTATGTCAGTTCTTTGGGAGTTTCGTTTTTCTCTCTCTGTATGGGGTCTGGCACTCAGTAGTTGCTTAATAAATACACACATTCTTATTGACTTAAATTGAGCATTTTCATTGTATTAGCACTGTGATAGAAAATGGGGATGAACAGGCAAATAGCTTCTTGCCCCTAAGAAGCTCACAGTCTATGAGGGGAGATAAACATCAGTATATACAAAATGAATACAAGGGAGGAGGGGGCGAAGGAGAGCCCACAAGCACTGAAGCGATCACAAAAGCCTTCTCACAGAGGAGGCAGCGTTCTGGGGTAGATCTCCAGACAGAGCCTCCCTCTCAGCCCTCTGAAGTCACTTGGTCACTGAGGATAATCATTCTGAAGCCCTTCCAGTGTTTTCTGAAGGGGCGATATTTTGAGCTCCTGCTGCATGTTTATCTTTATACTGAATGCTGCTTCAGTCTTAGGAGGGGCCCTTGAAGCCGTGGAGAATGCCCTAGATGGAGAATTAACAGTCTTGTGTTGTTTCCTAGCTCTGCCTGTGACGTAGTGCTCATCTTTATCAATCACTTTTCCTCAGCATTAAATAGGTTAAAAGTGACTGTTGGTTACAGATTTTTAAAAAGAAAAGCATGTTGTACATAACAGAGATTTAACATTTCACATACAACATTCCTTTTCTGTCAGTTATGTATATGAGTGCTCATTTTGGTTGGTGTTTATATCAAAATTTCAATTTAAACCAAACCAGTGGCTTGTCAGATTTATTAGGATTAATTGTGTTTTCATGTAGGAATGGTACTAAATAAACATGCCACTCTTTTTGTTTCTATCTTTATAGGAAACTAAAGAGGAAAAGTCTTCCTATACTTGTCCCTTGTGTGAAAAGATTTGCACTACTCAGCATCAGCTAACTATGCACATTCGTCAGGTATGCTGGGCTTTTGGGTCTCTTCAAGTGGGAAGTGTCTCATTTGTAATTTTAAAATTATATTTCATTTCATTTTTTTTTAAAAGAATGTTTTGGGTTTTGCTCAGGTTTTATCTGTTAATTCATTTTCTTTTTCTTTGGGAAAATCTCAACGTGCCTGGAATACCTCTTTTGATTATTTTTACTTTCCTAAAAGTGGTAGAAAGGCATCATTGTTGGTAGAAATCTATTAGATGAGCATAACCATCTTTGTATTATTTTTGTAACTTTGAGACACTTATCACAGAACTGCTACATGACTGTTTTGCTCCTTTTAGAGAAATCTAACTTCTCTTGCCTAACTTATTTTTTAATATAGTATAGGAAGATTGATAGCTATTGTGGAAGAGAGTAATTTCTCTTTTTTTGTAAGTAGTGAATTGTGGGCCTCCTAAGTAGTCTCAAAGCCTTTGGCCTCCTATTTGGATGTAAATGTTTCCTCTTTAAAGAAGAGTTTGAGGAAAATATCCTAGCCCATGTGTGGTTTCACTTCCTCTTCACCAGCAGCATGGAGTTGTAAAGAGACAGTATCTAATTGAGGTTAAGCTGGAGGCTGACATGAAGCAACCACCATGATTTGTAAAGGCCCAAAAAATTCTACTTACCTGGTGGGTAGCTGAGACCCCATCTGCCTATGAGGATCCAAATATGGTCTGTTGACTTAAATATATACATTCTGCAGGAAGAGAAAGACTCATAAATTATCCTTTCTTTCGGTATTGTAGTGAAAGCAGTGTTTTCAATATGTAAATTTAGGAGAGTAGGGGGAAACATTGGGGGAAAAAAGCTGCAAAAGCCCAACCCTTTAGAGCCAAAATATATGTCTGTCCAAGGTCTTAACCTGCTTATTTTGATAGCAGCAAAAAAGTTGAAAGCAAAAATCCACCACACACAAGAGTTTGGGGGATTTGCTTTATTAAACTTTGTTTTTATAATAGTTCCTTGAATGTTGACAGTGATGTAGAATGACTTTAATAAGACATTTGCTTTCTTTAGCATAACACAGACACTGGAGGGACAGACCATTCCTGCAGCATCTGTGGAAAGTCTCTGAGCTCTGCAAGCTCCCTGGATCGCCACATGCTGGTACATTCTGGTGAAAGGCCTTATAAATGTTCTGTTTGTGGACAGTCCTTTACGACCAATGGAAATATGCACAGGTGGGTCATGAGCTGGACTGGGTGGCTACCTGGCTTGTGGAAGGAGAGAAAAGAGTGAATATTCTCCTAGCTTCCCAAAGAAGCATGAGGCATGTTCTCTCCCCAGGGAAAGAAGTCTTTAGCTCTCTGTTACTTTGACAGTATTCTTGATATTCTTGTCAATATTTTTGAACAGACATGATCACACACTAAGGACTTCATCTAACCTAGAGTACCTGGGCTCAGTCTTTAGCTCTTCAAAGCTCTTCAGAACTCAAATAGAGAAGGCATTCCAGTTGTGCCATTTGAATTTTCTTTGTGAGGGTGCCAGTGGTGGGCTACTTATCAGAAAGTGTAGCTTTAAGTATGAATACTTTCTTTTTTTTAATCCTCCCTTTTGCCTTTTAAGTATTTATGTATACCCATTAGGTTCTCTTCTGAACTCTTTTCTTTGCCAAGTATTTCCCAGCCCTTTCAGTAAACGGTTAACTGGCATAGTTAGTATTGGAGCAGCAGAACAGGATGAAATAAAGAAAAGGAAAAATATCTTGGCTACATGTCAAAAAAGTACTTCTGATAGTGTGATCTATCAGATTGCTGCCTGGGAAGTGGGAGTGAACAGAGTAAGGGAATGTTAAGATGATGTGGAACAGACCGCTTGAAAATACAATTTCAAGCATCCTCTCCGTGGATTCTTAGGCACTGATATTCACCTGGTTTTTTATTTTGTTTGGTTTTAATGAGCCTGATCTCGGTCTTAAAAGGGCAATTTCTTTTCTCCTTTCTAAACACCATTGAGAAGGTTTATTTTTGGTGCACAAAAGTAATCTGATCATGCCACCATCACTCTTGTGTGATATTCCTAGTGTCTTTCCCTTTATCAGATTTTGAATAACCTGCCAAAAGTCACAAGAGCTTTTGGGCCGTGTCTAAGGCAGTATTTGAACTCATTTGCTATACCAAATCAAATTGTTCTGGCACAGTGTGGCACAAGAGGCACAGTGTGATCTCAATTGTGTGGCTGTAAAGTGGTCTGCTACAAAATATTTTCATGTCTGCCTGTTCCCTTTTCATACTTCCATCTGGAATGCCCTCAATGATTACTCAGGTATTTTTGTATTTAGTAATTTTGTAGTAGGCATATTGATTGATGATTGATAGTATTTTTTTTTCCTATCATAAGCCTTGCAATGAAATGATCAGGTATCTCATGAAATATTATTTCTTCTTGCCCTTGGTTGAACAGTAAAACCAATTTCATTCTCCACCTACATTATTTGCATCTTCAAAAAGAAATTCTGCCATCTTTTTATTTGTCTGCAGCTTTGTTTTTTGTCTTCTAGTTTCATTCATACCAGTAAATATTTGTTTCTCCAGTGCTCTGTCTTTTCTTTAGTCATTGGACAAGGATTTCACACTAAATGTCAACTGCTAGTCAAGTAACATTTATTAGGTGCCTGCTGTATGTCAGGCACTGTGCTAAACTTTAACAATTCTCTAAGGATTTATAGGTAGTCTAAAAAGTTTCTGATTATTCTTTTTGCACCCTTTTTTTCTTTTCTTACCACTGTCCCAGTCAACATAAATACAGTTCTGCTCCACTGAGGTTCATTGTAAGATTTTCTTTGTGTCACGATTAGCCATGCCCAAAGAACTCATCACTGAGGGGCCACTCTATTCTTGGATGATCTTCTCCATCATTGGAAAGCAAAGACGGTAATCTAGGTCATATTATATTGTCATGATGATGATGATCATTATTATAAGTATAACAGGTCAGATCTTGTGCTCCTATAGCATAGCCCTTGAGACATAACGAATGACGTGGCAGAGTAGTTTTGTGAGGATGATGATATCTTTTATATAGCCATCAGGTTTTCAAAACTCTTTCTTTGTAGTAGACCTGTTCAGTAGGTAAAATAATTCTTTCTATATAATTAATGGTCAAAGCTTACTTAGGAATTTTAAGAAAAAATGTATCAGATTGATTTATTTTGATGCAAAGATTGTGGAAATTCTGGTCACTCATAGGCATCTATCCATATTTTGCTAAGAAGGTCCAGAGCATCTATAATGAACTATAGAGTTTCATCTCAGGTACTACCCTTAAAGGGCGTCAAAACTTTTTTAATAAGCTAGATGTGTCAGTGTAGAATTTCAGTTCTAGATACTGTTTCTCTTCCCTTATTTCTACACAGGTTAACCTACTGGTCCTTAGTGTCCACTATGATGTGAGACTTCACTTTAGACATTTCTTTGGAGAGGATAGTTGTGGGCACTTGATTTTCATTTTGTTTTATATTTGGGGGCCTTTTTCATACATTTTTCTTTCCTGGTATTTTCTGTCTTTCTCTGATTAGTGGGGGTTGTCAAGTGTGGAACCTGCCTTCAGAAGGACTTTGTTATATCTTGACTTCTTTTTACCCAGCTGGATTGACGTTTTCACCAAAGAAGGTGCTGCCTCAATGATGAAGTTTGCTAGCCCATCTTAACATTCTTTTCCTGTTTGACTCTTGCCCACGATCTTCCACAAGTCTCTCTTAAGAGGTTTCCACAATCTCTAGAGATTACCTGGGCACCAGTGGAGCTCATGGACTGGCTGACAGTTAACACTTAACTTTCTCTATGTGACTGGTCCAGCTCTTTTTCCAGTCCCACCTCTTTCTGGTAATGTCCTCTGCATCTCTTGCTACATGCTGGATTCTGCTCATGCACGAGTTCTTTACAACATAACTTGAATAAAGCAATCCCCTTGTACTATTCGTCAAATAAATTTCTCCTCAGACATCACTGTATGTAGAAAAAAAATCTGATAGACCATGATTAGGTTTAAGTAAGTGGAGTTGGGTCCTATGACATCAACATTATTAAGGACTTCGGCTAACTTATTTTTTTAGCACACAACTTTGTATTTTGATTTTTAAACCTCCAGAAGCATCGTGACACACAAGGAACACAGGGCTGAGAGTCAGGAAACTTGGGTTCTAGGTTCTTTCCAGCTCTAAGAATTATTATTTTTTATTATCCTGTTTTGCAAGTACCACCATGGAGCTGAGCTGAGTTCGCTAAATCTAGTTAGCCCCAGCTTACACAATGCTCCATGTCTTATCTCTTCATCTGTCTTGGCTATCTTTTTTTTTTTTTTTTTTTTGGTTAGGCAATGGGGGTTAAGTGACTTGCCCAGGGTCACACAACCAGTAAGTGTTATGTGCCTGAGGCCAGATTTGAACTCAGGTCCTGAATCCAGGGTCAGTGCTCTATCCATTGTACCACTTAACTGCCCCCTCCATCTTGGCTATCTTGACATTGGTTGTGCCACTACATGTGTATTCTCCTTTTCCACCTCCTACTTTGGTCTGCCACGTTCATGTCAATAAGCTCCCCTTCATATTAACTCACCAGCCCTGTGGTTCCCTTCCTTTGCCCCCTTTGAACGAACACTCCTTGGGGTAAGCACTGTCTGTCTCCCTTTGTCTTACTTAGCACAGTGCCTGCACATAGCAGGTACTTAATAAAGACTTCACATTCATTCATATCCTGTTGTTCAATATTTACTCTAATCTTCTGCGTGTTGGTGCTTTGTCCTGTAAAGATCAGTTGAAGAAGTCCCTAAAAGGCTTCATTATAACTTAAAATATTTTCTGAAATGAACTATTTTAGTTGCTTTTTTAATACTTTAGCAACTACCTGTCCTACAGAGAAAAATATTTGTATTCCTTTCATTCATTGCTCATTGTTGTGTATAAGGTTTTTTTTTTTGGTTGGTTTTTTGTTTTGTTTTGTTTTGTTTTAGGTAAAACATAATGACTTTGCTTGAAATTTCATAGTCAGAGGATTATAGATTTAACACTGTGGGTAATGTTAGAGGTCATCTGGGTCAACCTCTCCATTTTACAGGAAGATTTGCCTATGATTGAACATGTATAACCTATATCAAATTGCTTTCCCTCTCAGGGAGGAGGGTGGTGAGGGAAGGAGGGGAGAGCATTTGGAACTCAAAATTAAATGTTAAAAATTGTCTTTACATGTATTTGGGGAAAAGATAAAATATTATTTAGGCAAAGTCACACAGTGTCTTTCAGCTGTGCCACGTTGCCCCTAAGAGTGGTCACTCTTTACTCAATGCTAGTTTAGTCTAATTATGAATGAGATCAGCATGTAATCAGACATGGAGAAATGAAATAAAATCAAGTTCCAGGTTACCAAATAAGGCATGCAGTTTTTTTCAGTGAGGTGGAATCCATTTTCACGGTTCATGTTTAGCATTTATGAAGCACCCAATTTATTATACTTGATTCTACTCTAATAAAGAAATTTATTGGTTAGATCTGTAAAAATGACGTCCTTTGCTGGAATCCCTAATGGCATTTGTAAGTTAAAATGCATTTCACAACAATCAAAACAGCAGCTACATTTAATTGTGTGTTGAGGCCATGAATACTTGAGTGGATGAGTCTTTGTTATGTTTTGATGCAAAACAAGGAATGATATTTTAGAAAACTTGGTCACTTTAGATGTGCCTCTATAGGAAAGAAAATTTAGCAAAAAATTTGAAGGGAAAAGGATTAGATTTATTACTGAGTCCTGGTGCAGTTTTAATAGCTGCCACTTCCCTGTCTGCGGATTCTGAGGCTTCATAAATCCTGCGACCAAAGTCTTGCTAATCTCATCATTTGGTTCCAGGGCAGAAGAGTGAATTTGCAATCAAGTACAAATCCATATATCATGAATACAGTAGCACCAATTTCTGGTTTCCAAGAGTTCTTTATCAGTCACTCCCACATAGATTTTTTCTTTTAAGTATATTTAATGATGCTGGTCTTCCAAAACAAACTTGAGAAACTGAGCCAGAACCCTTAGGTAAAAATCATTTCAAGGGAAAAGTTAGAGCAGTGTCTAATTTGGAAATATTTTTAATTCACAAAACTCCTGAGACTGTGCTAAGTGGTAGGCACATCAAGAGACAGCAACACAAAAGAGAGACAGACAACTCAGCATCAATCTTTTAGATGATTTCTTCT